GAACTAAATTGAAAGAGCCATATGTGGCTACTGACTAGCACAGTGGACAGTGCAGTCCAAGACTTTTATGAGATGGTATCATTTTTTATGCATTGAGGTTTATACAGTCCTGATGAATTTAACTCCAAAGATAGAACACAAAATTCCCCTTTGCATTTCTCTTTTCCCTAATGCCTTTCATCCCCAATTTTTTATACATCTTTCATCTCCCACTTTACTTCATTCCAGCCTGTAGAATCCATATCCTCCTCCCTTATCAGCAGGTAGAGCAAAGCTATTTTCACCACTCCTTCAGCAGTGCCCTAAACAATTCTCTAAAAGTATTTAACTAGTCAACAACTACCTAGAGCCTACTGGGCGGAGCACTGGCCTGAGTCCTGGGAAGGGTGGAGGGAGACAGAGACACAAAGATAATAAAACAAGGTCACGTCTAACAGTGAGGAGGGTGATTAAACTGATAAACTCACACACAGGGAGCCTTGGTCAAGGGGGCAAAAGGGAGATAGGGGAAAGGTTGAGTGTCTAGGTTTGTAGTCTCAGGGTTCCAAATTGGGAATCTGGAGTGTCCACTTTGCAGAAATTCCTGCAAAATGGCCCCAATTCCACTTTGCAGAAATTCCTGCAAAATGGCCCCAATTCCACTTGCACCTGGATGACAAGAACAAACAGATGGAGCCAGATTTGCTCTCAAAACTGAGCTCATGAATGGACATGAGGAAGTTTATTGATGTCTAGATGAGACAGCTGGCCTGGGTGGAGGAAAATGCTGTTACATTTCGCTCTGATGACTTGGTTTGATGTGAGATGGGTCCAGTTGTTGGAACACCATTCCACTTTTTATGGAAAAAGAAATAAACAGTAGATATAAGTTATATTGAGGCATAAATATTAAAGAAGGAAAAAAGAATGGTGCACAAATCCAACATAGGCAATTGGTACTCATTATTTAAACAACATCCAATAATTGAGGTAGTGAAAGATGCATTTCTTTCCTCCCACCACTGACATACTTGGATTCTCGCTTCCATTGCACATATGTTAGAGCAAAAAAGATGTTGCTTTGTTTGGATTTACTTTTACTGTAGAATCCATTATAAAGCAACATGCTTTGTATGTCAAAGAACAGAAAGGCTTCACTTCCGCTTTTCAGAAAGATCTGGGCAGAAGTCAACTACTGCATTTATTCCATGCAGCTCTCCTTTTGATTACTAGATGTGTGCTGGTTGTAGATGCCACAAAAAAGCAGTGAATTTTCTTACTATGAGGACTTTCTGTCTTAAAATGTGTCTTACAGCATCATACCTCTGAAAATGAAATTGTCAGTCATCTAAATGTCACTTTGTAAAAAGGAAGCGTTTAAACATGTAGAAACACCCAGATGGTGCCTTAGTGCTTCATATTTCATCCAAATACCTGCTCTCAGCACACAGGTGGAGTGACTGCATCTCTTATTTTTCCAAAACTTCCTCAATTTTACTCTTTTCAATGAAAGCAGTTCATTAAGAGCAAAATCAAAAAAATCGAAACTGTGATACCTCTCCAACACTTTTCTTATAAATTGCAACACAGATCAGAAAAGCAACAAGTAAATTAAAAAGTATTAGATCAACTGTCCCAGTCTACTCTAGGCTGACAGAAATATCACCTCCCTGCTTGTGAGCTAGTTTAACAAAATGTGTTTCCAAGAACACTAATCCCATGAGTTGTACCACAGTGAAATCATTCCATGGCAGATGTCCTAAGCCTGTTTGGCCCTGAAAAATAGTTGGGTTGTTGTCATAAATATTTTCAGCCTACCCTCTACCACACACCTCTGCTGCCAAATAAGAAGTCCTAATGCAAGCTGGTATTAGACCAATTCTGCCACAGATATATGTAATAACAAATAAGCATGAAAAATGCGAAGGCATATTGTTCTTGTAAGCTCTGGGAAGTAATCTGCCTTCAGGATCATGCATAAAATGTTCACTCAACCTAAAATAGGTGGAGACCAGAATCCTCTGGTAGCTGTGCCAGTCCACTGCAGGGCTGGGCCAAGTTCCTCCATGAAATGGGGTAACAGGAAGACCTTAAAGACCAAAGAGATTAGATGACTGGCTTCCCTCATTTATGGAAGGATGGTGGAACCATGCAATAATTCTGGCCTATAATGTATCTAAATACCACTAATTTAAACATAAAAAAGCATTTCTATTTTCCTTTTGCAAAGTAACAAAACTTATGGTCTTGATTACAATGGAGGCATTCAAAACATCTGAGGAATTACCTCTAAGGTTAGATACTTGCAGAGGGGGCTGCAAATGCTAATTTTTCCTACCAGGAAGGCTAATAGTAGTTTACGCATGCATATGCCCACATACAAAACATCCTTTTTATGTTAAATGCCTACTGAAGGGAATCACCACGTTGATCCAATAATGGGTTAGTTTGGAAATCATCTGGGGAATTCACAGAATTCATAGGCATGCTGAAAGTTCCTTGTAAGTCCTGCAAAAAGGAAACCTTGGCTAAATCCAAAAGATTTCAACTTTTTTGGCCTCAGAAATGTCAGGATACAGGCATCAGAGGACAATACTGATCTTCTGTTCAAAGCAACCTACTAATCTAAACAATGTTTCCAAAGTGGATTCTGAGTATGAACTGATGTTAGATCCATTCCAAATCCACCAAATTCTTTACATATGAAGGAATGGACATTCTGATTCACAAATCATTTTCTTGTGAGTCTAATGTGCAAGGATCTGCCCCTTATAGTCTAATACCCTCTAACATGGTAAAACTGAGTTTTTGGATTAGCAAAATTCACAGGTAAAATAGCAAACCTTCAATACAGTATATACCAAGAATGTGCTACAAGAATACAGCATCTATCATTTAATTTATATCTTTCAATAATATACAAGAGAGATATTACCACCATCCTTTTACAGAAGAGGAAAATGAATAAACCAAAAGGCTTAAGAAGTCTGTAATATCATTGAGCAATTAAGTTACAGCATTAGGATGAGAATGCAGAGAGGCCTATTTTAAAACGTGATCTCTTAACCATCACACTGCACCGTTAAGGAACTGATCCCACACCTGTAGCTAACCACTGAGTTTGGCCTCCTCCACGTTCAGGCTTCAGCAGCAGACCAGTTGGTCCAAGCCAGGGACGGCTTTGTGGATGCAGTCTGCGTAGTTCCATAAGGCCCCGTGCTTGATTTAATACTTTGCTTTTGCTGTCTTGGAATTTCTTAATAATTTTTGAGCAGGGAGTTCTACATTTTTATTCTGCACTGAGTTTCAGTGCTTTCCATAGCACATAAGCTCTAATTGACACAAACTTTAAAAGATGCATAGACTTCAGCTTAAATTAGTAGTAGTCTGAAGGCATGACCTGGAAGCTAATTTTGGAACATACTGTCCAACCCTACATTATGAAAAAAAGGTTTTGCCTAACAACTGCAATGGAAACCGATAACCCCCAATTTGTAGTCTATCAATTTCCTGGGGGAGGGTTTTCAAAACTCATGAGCAATAGGGCAGGAAGCCCTTGGGCTCCGGTGTGTGACCCAGTTCTATATGATTAACTCAACAAACTGACCTATTAAAGGATTAAGGGGTCACAGATTGTTGGTCACAGTACTTGGTTGTACTGTGTAGGTTTGTACTGTTAAGGATGCTCCAAATGAATTCTCACACTCCTTCACACTGACAGAAACTGTAAGTTAGATAATGCAGATCCATTTCTACCTACCTTGCTCATTTTGCCCTAAAGAGACTGAGGAAAGCTAAACTCTTCTTTCCCATCCTCCTTTGGAGGTCAGTGTTATCATGTGACTCAATTCTAGCCAATGAGATGGAAAGGGAAGTCTTCTGGGAGACTTCTGGAAACAGTGTTTTTCTCTGATAATTAAGGGAGAATTCCACTACAAGAAATACATTTTTCATCACCACTCCCTTGGCCACTTCCTGCTATGGTCTTGTTTAGAACTACAGCTGCCATCTTGTGACAATGAGGTAAAATGCATGAATATGAAATGCCAATAAATACGATGACAGAGTAGACAGATGAAGGAGACTGGTGACTCCGTGGAGCAAATGAACCAATGCTGCTGATTCCCTAATTAACGATCTGTTTATATCTCTATTATCCTTTTTTTCTTTCTTTCTTCTTTTAACAACCATAGGTATTTTAACTAAACACACAATTTTGCAAAACCTGATCCCTTTAACTAAAAAAAAAAAATAAGCCTTCCACTATCTACTGAGGAAGACCTAGTTCACTAGCTAGACCTGCCTCTCAATTTTGCTATGAACCGAAAGCTGTTCTAAAAAATAAAGTCTTAAAAAAAAACATGCATAATTTCTCAATAACCAAACTGATCATCATATAAGATTTCACAGTATGTTAGAGCTTAGGGTATGGGGCCCAATAGCTTGATGTTCCATCAGGATCCAGCTCTGTTACCGTCAGTCCTCAGTTTGCTTAGGTGTGGAAATGGGAATAATAGTACCATGTTCCCTCTTGGGTGTCTGGAGGAACAAATGGGTTCTGTCCAGCGTCTGACATTTAGCAGTCAGAAATGTTAATTCTTTTGAATAAGCTATATAGGAGTCTCTCATACACTGTGCTGGATAAAAATGTGCATTTTATGAAAATATCCTCTTTTTCATGTTGTCTGAGGCCCTTTCTAGACCTGTAACCTCCAGTTATTCATTGAGAACTAATCAATCTTGGAGCTGTTCTATACATAACTGAGAATCTTACCATGCTAAGTATATAGCACACACCCTGTCACATCTTATTTAATAAAGCAAATTGCTCCATGCAAGGGTAGCAGTTCTCATTTGTGAATTCTTACCTAATTAGCTGTCTAAAAGCAAATTGCAAATTGGAACCAAGTAAACATTCCTGGAGTATTTGCTCTAGTGAACTAAGATGAACTGTGGGTCCATTCTGCAGCTTGCCAGAGATGTTACATAAGGTGGTAAAATTGTCCCTATGTGTTTCCTAGGAAATCCTAGAAGCAGCTCTTCCTGGATGTCTACAGCTGTAGGCATTGTTCTCCTTTCCACATTTATAAGAGGATTCAAGAGTTTAATGACAAACTTTTATGGAGACTGAGGAGGCAAAAGGGATCCAGTGTGACAGTAAGAAAATCTCCAAGCAACATTCAGTCACAGCCACAACCAGGACATCACAGAGGTTCACTTGGCACAGACAGAAAAAAGTAAAGGTTGGTCAAATGAACATCATTTGTGGGCAAGAGGCAGATCTCTTATGGATAGATGGCAGTGGTGTGTGGAACAATTTTATTCTAGGAAAACTGGGCATAAGGAGGTGATGGGAAGCAGAATCCTGCTCACAGGCAAAGGACGTTAGGACATTTATTGCATGTCCATGCACAGCATCCACGTCCTCCTCTTTTGTTATCAATGGCTCAGTTTCCTTTGGGGAAACTTCTAGCCCATGCAGTTCAGCTGCTGATGATACTAGTCCCTTGACCGGTGGGCATAGCAAGGACAGATGACCTAAGTCTAGCCCAAGGGAATTTTCAGAGCTTGTGCTGAAATACTTTGGAAAGTTACTTTCTTTCTGTATGGATGCCAAGCTACCAGGATATGGGCCTGGATCTGCTGGGGTCACCCAAAGGGTGAGCCTGCTTGAGAATACAACCAACAGAGAGGAAGAAGATTAAGAAGGTGAGAATGTGTATCCATCCAACCATAAATCCCGTGGACTTTTCAGTTATAAGAGCCAGGGAATTCCCTTTTAACCTAAGCCACTCAGGTTAGTTTCTGTCATTTGGTACTAAAAAAAAGTCTGAGTCATTACTGAGTTAAAAGGAAGGTATACCAGTCTATAATATGTCATACTTTTTTCTTCAACCACCAACCATCTTTGATGTGATCTCTGTATCAGGCTGTGGTGACTGTGTTTTCCCAACCACGTCCCCACAAAATCAGTCTATCTGCTCAGACAAGTAGAGTTTTATTTACAGAACAACACTGCAGAATATTTGAAATTCAGAACTAATCTGAAAACCTGGGACATGTGAAGAAAAGACACTTTCTGATAGTAATGATCACACAGTCCCATTCCCCTGGTAAATTCCTGAGGCATGCATTTCAAACTCACATTCCTTCATGGAGTAATCAGGCTAAAAATATCTTTCCTATACTCTCTGAATAAAGACTGAAATGCATTGCTCATAGCTGTTGCACCACACATCTGAAGCAAACTCTAAAGTGGTTAGTCAATATTTGGACTCTCTGGAGGGAATCCCAGGGAGATTAAGCCCACACGTCCCTACTGCCATCTTGTTAGCTGGGAGTGACCCACCACAGTAATTTTGTCCTCAGTGTCTCAATAACTACTGTACTACATAAGGGTAACACACCATAGCTGTAGAAAGGCTTTCCTGAGAAGCTGTACAAACTCAAGTTTATTCACTCCAGACTATGGTCTATGCATTATACATGATCATTTCAGAGATGATCCATTTCCCACTCTTACGGATAGGCAGTTGGCAAGGGCCTCATAATGCTGTGGCTTCTGGCATCACTGATGGAATCAATACCTTGCTTTTGTAATCCAATGGACTATTGCTGGATTTAGCATTTACTATGTACAAGGCACCATTTAAACATTTTACATGCACTGACCAATACTCATAAAACTCCATGATACAGGATTCATTGGTGTCTCCAATATACAGATGAGGAAACTGAAGCTCAGAGCAGTTGAGCAAAATTCTCAAGATCAAAGAGTTAGTAAATGTAGGAGCCAGGACTAAATTCTAGGGCCATTCTCTCTGTTCCCCATAGTACATGTTCTGACTGCCTACTATATCAGACTCTTAAGAGGACTTCGGTATTTTATCTGGGAACATCAATTTCGATATTTGTAACTTGAAAATATTTAATAAGAGAATTTGAAGATAACTGATTAGGCACAAGCTCTGCAGGAATATACAACAGAGTTATTGAGCACCTGCCCTGTACCAGGCACTGTGCCAGGCTTTGGGAATACAACAGAAGACAGAAGAGACACAACCTCGCAAAGCAGCACAGACAGAGAAGCAATGATAATGGAAGGCTCATGGTGTTCTGGTGTTCAGCCTAGGAATTCAGATACTTCCATTCTGGCACCCACTCTTCTCTACTGCCAGCAGGCAATGGGCACTTGGCAGGACTGTCTGCCCTTTAGGAGCTCAGTTTTCTAATCAATAAAAGGGTAAGGGTGGGCTAGACGATCTCCAGGCCTGGTATTTATTGACCTCAGGCTCTCCACCTGTGTTCCTGAAGAGGAAGATACAAAAACAACACATGCTGGAGCATTTTTCTCATATTTACAGCACATCAGAAATACCTGGGCAACTTGTTAAAAACAACGACTCGCAGAACCACAACAAGAGGGTTGCATCCAGAAGATCTGGGATGTAGCCCAAGATCTGCATTTTTAATAAGTCTCCCAGGGGCTTTTGATGTATGAATTGTGATTGAAACCCTGGTATTCAAAGCATTGGCAGCACTTGGGAGCTTATCAGAAATGCAGATCTTGGGTTCCACACAAGATCCACTGAATCAGAACCTGAATTTACCAAGGTCCCTGGGTCATGCTCACATTTATCGAAGTGTTCCTAGCAAAGGGCCAACCTATTTAATCTTGATGCTATGCTCAATCTCAACACCAATGTAACCAGAGCACGCCCTTACCTGGTTGTTATTACTTGTGCTAGGTTTTCTTAACCAGGAGACATCTGTAATTACTGTTTCTAAAAGCATCATCTGGAAGAGTGTTTTTCAAGTTCAGTTTGGCAGAGTACTCGGCTTCGGTTCTCCTGGGCCTCCTGGGGGTAGGGATTGTGAGAGGCAGTCTGGACTGAGCTAGCCTCCAGGCTATAAACTCTACTTCAAACAGAGCTGCTCCACTTTGATCAGTTTTAGAAATTGGTATTTCAGTTTGGTTTTTGTTTTTTGTAAATTTTTTTTTTTTTTCAACCAGTATCGTGCTCCACAGTGCCCATCCATACCATTGGTACTTTTCCCATGTTACCCAAGAGATGGGCTGAGGGAATAAACCTGGCTCTGTTTCTATATGCTTCCCTTGAGGACAGAGACATGACCTTCAAAATGTCAAAACCCATTCCTATTCCCAGGAGGACTGCTAAATTACTTTCCTATCTTACTTTAATATGCAATGACCAAGAAAAACATTAATGTGGAAAATTCTGAATTCAGCTCGTATGTCATCCTTAGTTTGTCTTCTAACAAAAGTTCCATGTATCTTTTCTTATAAACCAAAATTTCCCACCAGTCAATGGGAATTTGGTCCTTAAGGTAAACATAAGCAGTCCAGATCTTTCTTTAGACCAAGTACATTTTGGGGACATCTTTAGTGATTAGCATTGCTTGGTGGCTCTAGAGTTAGGAATTCTCAGAATTTACTTAATAAAGAAATCACAAGAGGCCCGGGAAAAAACTTTAGTTTTATTAACACCTAATGAATGGTTCTCAATGGGGATGAACATAATAATTACCTTTGAAAAATCTTGATACCAAGGCCAAACCCCAACAAATTACATCAGACTTTCTAGGACTGAGACTCAGGCTTCCGTGGGACCCTAGATGACTCCAATGTGCAGCAGGGAACTGGATAAGGGAGCCCTGTAAATGCAGTCCTGTAAGACATGCTCTCTGCACCACCCACCCTGGGTCTCCCCTCTTCCTGCATCCAGATGATTATTCATTCATTCATTCAATAGCTATTTATTGGAAATCTACTATGCATATTTTTAGAGCTGGAAATTATAAATTCAAAAATCCTGTCCTTGTGGAGCTAACACTACTACAAACAAAATTCATTTATTTTTTTAAGTTCTAGATACAAAAAAGATAAAATAAGCTGTTGGTGTACTACGTAGACATAGCCTCTGAGGTGATATCAGGGTACTGAGTTGAGACCTAAATTTTGGGAAGGATACAGCTATAGGAAAATCTAAATAATTTAAGATTTATTTAATTAAGCAGAAATAGTAAGTTTAAGTGCCCCCAAATGGGACTAAGATTGGTAAATTGAGAGGACAAAGTCTGAAGGGCTGAATGAAGAAAAAAGTTAAAGGAAATGAGATTATACTGATGGTCAAAAACCAGATGCTGTAGGTCTTTGTAGGCCATAAAAGAGACAGTGGAAGAGACAATTTGATAAATAACAGTGGGAAAACATCTACATGAAAGACTGTACCAATCACAGGAACAATGGCCTATATAGTAACAAGACGTGTTGAATTTTATTTTACTTTAGTTTTTGGCAAGGGTGGGCAGAGCTGGTACTCATTCTTGGGGACATGCTTTAGGATTACCCGGGAGGGAGGTGCATTTAAGATGTTTAGCACACACTGTCCTTCCTCACCCATAGGCACAATTCTCTTACTCACCCTGAGGGCTATGACCCATACCCACAGTGAGTGATTAATACTAACCAGAGTGGGCCATATCCAGTGGTGTCAAAACCCAACAATATGCACATTCACGATTTTCAGGTCTGTACCTCCAGTTCAGTTCATTCACCCAACACTTTAAACATATGCACTCTAAATACTCTATCAGGATATCCCATAGCACCTCAAACACAACATGGCCAAAACTGAACTCATCTTTATTCCTAAACAGAACAGACTGGTATTTCCTCCTATAATCTCTCTGTCAGTTGACAGCAATAGATGGTGGCTGAGGCTGGATGATGTGGTGGTTTCTTCACTCATATGTCTGCTGCCTGAGCTGGGATGGCCAGACTAGCTGGGTGGGAGCTAGTTAGGCCTCTCTACTGCCTTATGGCTAATTTGGGCTTCCTCACAGCATGGTGATTTCAGGATTGTTGGACTTCTTATATGGTAGCTGACTTCTCCCTGAATGAGTATTCCAGGAGACAAGAGGTGGAAGCTGCCAGCCTGGAAATAGTCCAGCATCACTTCTTCCACATCCTCCTGTGAAAGCAGTTTCTGTGTTCACCCAGATTCAAGGGCAAGAGTCATAGACTCACTTCTCAATGGGAGAAGGTTGATAAATCTGTGGCCATGTTTGACAACCACAATATATGAAGCATATATGGACATGCACACACAAATATACATATACACACACACACACACAGTGTCTGGTACATATTAACTTAAATTCCTTCAAATAGCACCTACTATAATAGTATGTAAATGCTATAATTCCTTTACAGTGA